TAAAAGAGGCGGCGACGCGTGTGCGGTGAACGCTTGTAGTTTTGGTGTAGACAGGGTGTGTGTGTTCTCGTTGTTGACACCAGCCGGCGATAAGGCACTGCAGGCGGTAGCTCAGTACAGCAAGGGCTAATCCGAGTGACCATCAACGTAACCCCACCGCCAACCCCTCGCGAACCGGTCGCCGACATGGCTCAGGCTGTGTCATGAACCACGTGGTAGAAGCTCGGGTGCTTTCATATCAGCGCGTGGAGGGACGACAGTGCGATTCCGGAAAGTCTTTTTCGAAGGCCGCTGACCACAATTTTTTGTCTGGAGACTTTCCCTCTTTCTTCCTTTGACGTGGATCAAGCTTTGCCGACAGCCTCAGTTGTGACCTCTCTTTTCAAATGTACGTTTGCAGTGAGTGAGCTCCTCAGCCTCGGACTTGTCACTTGTGCACCCAGTAGTTCTTTCACTTGGCAATTATATGCCATCAGTTGGGGTTTAATTTCTATTATTTATGTATACATTATGAAGACGTCCTGGAGCTCCGAACGAGTGTTTTGTGCAGATTACTTTTGCAAACACAAAAAGACTATACCAAAGCAGCGGAATTTTCGAAGTGTTGGCGAGTTGGACCTAAACTCGTTGAAGCAAATTCTTCCGCCTGACTGTTCCACCAAAGTGAGTGCGACGGACTACCTGTGCTACCATTGCTTCATGCACATCACTAAGGAGATCTTGATGCGAAGCTCAGAGCAGTGCCCTGACATATTTGTGCCAGCTGAAGAAGCAATTGAAGATCTAAATCGCAGCATACTACCTACAGATGTGTCGCCGCTGAGACAACCAAGCGTCGTAAGAAGTCGGGACAGGCCTGCCTATGTCAAGAGAAAGCAGACAGAACTGGAGCAGGTTGCTGTCAAGAATATACGCTCAAGGCTACGTATTGCGTACGACAGGGACGCACCATCGGGGTCGTCCGAACCAACATGCTCCACATGCACTGAGTGGGTGGACAACTTTCGGCAGGCCTTTGAAACCGCCACCTCTCTCCGGGAACGTTGTCAACTGCTTACACTCCTGCCGTCAACACTGACGAAGAATGGGGTTCAAAAGATGATTCCACAGGCCTCAATGTACCTCATCAGTAAATCCCGAAAACTCAAGGAAAAGCATGGCGTGTGGTATGAGCCGGATCCTTACACGAGGTGCAAGGTGAGCCCTGAGAACCTGTCTGCTGCCCTAGAGTACTTCACGAAAGACGAGCTACAATGTTCGCGCCAAAGTCCCAACCAGAAGGACGTCATCTCTGTCATGCTCAACGGAGAGAAAACGTTCGTGCCAAAGCGCTTCATGACACGCTCAATACGAGAGGCCTTCCGTATATACAAAGACAAGCATCCCGATTCCGGCGTTGGGCTAACGAAATTTTATTCGTTGCGCCCTAGATGGGTCCAATGTATTCCACACCAGGAAGTGTGCGTTTGTGTGCGCTGCGCCAATTATTATCTTTGTATTGCCGCTCTAGAGAACGTTACAGGCTCAACATTCAACACTGGTGAAATGAACTCGGCATTTCTGTGCGACCCAGCAACAGAACTGTGCCTTCAAGGAGACTGTGATGATCACTGCCCAAAAGGCCAGTTTCTTACACTCCAGGAACTTGATATCCCGGAGGATGAAGAGATTGTGCTTGCAACATGGGAGTCCGGCGACCTTGTGAAAAAAACTTTGGAACCTGAGACTTTTCTAAAAGTCATCCAAGTGACGGTTGGAAGTTGGGTACTTCACAACCATATCCGGCAAACGCAAGGTAAAGCGATCTACGATGAAAAAAAGTGCATGCAACGCGGGAGCATTGTCTTTCATTTTGACTTTGCTGAAAACTGGACCATCGTGCTTCCTGACGAAGTGCAAGCATATCACTGGAAAAAAAAAAACAAGTTTCGATATTTACATGTGTAGTGACGACAAGAAAATCTACAAACAGCTTTGCCATCATCAGTGAGGACCTGTGTCACAACGCCGCTCACGCTTGCTTGGCTCTAGAAAAAGTGAAGGAGTGGGTTAAAGACAACGTTGCGGTATACTCGTACGTGACGTACGTAAGTGACGGCGCCGCCAGTCATTTCAAGAATCGCTACCAGCTTCACCAATTTGCAAAGGACGATTGCCCACAAGCCCAGTGGTTATTTTCTGCATCTGGACATGGGAAAAATGCATGTGACGGAGTTGGCGGACTCGTGAAGCACCAGGCCACGCTGAACAACCTGAGAGAACGTTCAGTAAGCGCAATTCAGACGGCCAGGACAATGGTGAGCGTTCTATCAAAGAAACTGAAAGGCGTGCATCTTGTATATCTGGACGAAAATGAGGTTGTTCGGTATCGTGAACAAAAAAAAAAAAGAAGAGTGGCTGACGGTGCGCGCCTTCCCTGGCATTCAGTCTTGGCACGCGTGGCGGCTCAGCAAGTCATCAACAGAAGGGACCTGTGACGTATATGTAGCACGGACAGTCGGATCTGCTTGGAAGCAACTTTATTAAATGGGTACAGCGAGGAAAACCTTAGCGTAAAGTGCCGAATTTGATTTCCCAAGGACTGCTCATTTTGAATGCAGGGACATCTTATTTATCACATTTTTCTTCACGGGGTATTTAACCTACTGTTTTTGTTTGTGGTTACTAATAATTTTTATCTGATCACTATAAAAAAAAATCCCAAAATGTTATCCTCGAGCAGGATAAAATATATCGGCTTGCCACGATTCATTCATACACCGAGAGCATCGAAGCTGCTCCAGTTAGGCACTATGGCATCCGTCACCTGAAATTATTTGTAATCGTAAATACACAGCCAACCTAAATATCTTACTATTATATCTTTGTTTTTGTGTGTGGAAGTAAAGTTATTTATTTTACTCTAGATGTAAAATCTACCGGAAGGTACAACTTCACACTGCATCATCTTTTCTCAAATCATTAGTCTCTAATATGATACCACTTTGTACGCTTATGTAAAATGCTGTATATAGTTTATCCTCCCTTTTACTGTGTGACCGATCGCTCTTTTTATCAATGACCTCATCTGAATAAATGTATATAAAAGATTTGTGCAAGTTTCATGAAACTGGAACTCAGAGGCACTTCTTGTATAGGACACTGCTAAGTGTAGGCTTTGAAAAAGGACCCTACTTTGGGGAGTTGTTTCTTCTTTCACAGTGCAATGATGCAACATGTTTTTAATAGAAATGAATGCCGAAATAGAGTATAACAGGGTACCCAAATTAAAAAAAAATCGAAGGTGGTGTTTTTTTTTTATTCGCATTGGAATTTTTCTTTGTTTGATTTTTTTCCCATGTTTGCCTAAATATATTGTAACTATTGTGTCACTCAGATACCTTATTTATTTTTTCGATAATAGCCATATATTAGTAAAATAATGTCTGCAAGTTATGTAATAATGATTAAATTATTTCATGAGATACAGATTTCCAAAGTTTGCCATTTGTCGTTCGAGCAGGCATGTTTGGCAATTTTTAGAAAACTAAATAAATTTTTAATAAATATTATTACTTTATATTACAAGCAAGTTGTACCCATAGTTTGTTTGTAAAAAGTTTTAAAATTCTCCTAATTTTATTGTTTTAATTATTCACTTTCAAACTTGCCCCCTCCATCAGTGCGCGTTATTGCAACTGTCCACCTCTCCCTGCCTTACGATTTTTCTTGTCTCCAAATTTTTTTTCTGGTCAAAACTAAGTGTGGATTCGTTTATACCAGACACTAGACAATGTCATATAAAAACATCAGTTGATTTAAAAATGTCGACCAGCCACCCTTTGGTCGATCTTATCTGAAGTCACCCTACATCGTCTTTAGGGACTAATTTAAATGCATTTTTTCCACAATTCTTAACAGAATGTAAGCACAAGAACCGGCTTTGTTTAAATGTCCCACTAAATTACTAAGATTTTATTAAATCTGTTAGCAAGGGAGTGAGCGGAAGTTTGACGTTATTTTGAATTTTGATTTAAAAGTTACCTCGGGTAATTTTATTTTTCTGTGCGTATGTTTTTCTTCGTTTCAGTGATCATACCGCACTGAGACAAACTGTAGTTGCTAGGGGTTCTGCGTTTCACTGTTACTTTCTAAGTTTAATTATCTCTGAATATTTCGAAGATATTAAATTTCCCTGTTTTTTCTTTTTTTACTAACGGCAGATTTTCGTTTTGATAAAAAACATTTTTAGGTTATCTTTATGTGTATATGTCTAATTAGGTCCGCTTCTATTATTAGTTTTTAAGCTATAACAAATTCACTCATTGTTTATATGAAAAGTGCGTTGATAAGTAGTTTGATAAGTATCTAGAAATACCTTCCGCAATTCGTTCACGGCAGTTCTATTCAAGATATCATTACAACTTCACTGTTTAAACGCTATCATCGAAGTAATGAATGCATACTGATATAATATTTTCAACCCGAGCGCGAGAGTGCATTCAAAATGTTAATTTTTGACTGCATGTTTCTAGGTAACAATAGAACAGAATAGTGTTATTTTATGGGTAGTTTTTATGGTCTTCCGTCGGAGGGTACTTTTTTATACAAATGAACACCAGATTGACAGGATGGGTGTCCACACTAAGTAAGTTTAAAAACATTGAAAACACTGATACCACGTCTCTAACATGTATTTTTAAGATAACATGAATACGTCAGCGGGTATATGAAGTGCAAGGACAGTTCTAGAATGCCAGATATTTTTATGGCGGGTCTCCCATTTAGACAAAGAAGTTTAACTGGGATGGCATATATCTTACCGCGAGGCATTTTTTCTTCCATGAGTACTACGTAGTATGTTTTCCCTCACCACATCACAAGAGCAAGCGAAAACATCAACTTAGGCAGAAAAAAAGAGAGAGAGAAATTTTTTTATCTGCACAATGGGAACTTGTGTTGCCTAAGAGGCTTTTTACTGATTTGTTTATGGCGAGTCTCTTTTGTTTCTTTCTTCATAGTACGCTATCATCGGCATACAACGCCCTGGCCGCTGTGACGTGGCACGACTTCATTCAACCTCGAGTAAAGCTATCCGAGGAGAAGGCCGTTCTCACCACTAAATGTATCGGTAAGACTTCCTTCCAGATTTGAAACCGGGATAGCAATCCCCAGTATTACTCCAGGGACAATCTGGCTTGAACCCACAATTCGAAAATATCGCCACCATTCCACCTCCGTGCAAAGCCTATTGTCTACCCTGGCGATGACCTGCTGAAATGAGAATGTGTGCAGAACACTGGTTTTGAGTGGGTCCTAATGCCCGGAAACTGTAATCTGTATCACGTCCTTTGTTTTATAACATAGAAATACGACCTCAAAGCGTGGAGATACGCGTGTAATAAAAGTTACCGAGGAAACTGACGGTTCTTTGTGCCGCAAGGAGGAGGGGGGGGGGGGGGGGGGGCTAATAAAAAATAAAGCGCGATTTATAATGGCCTTGGAAATACAGCTATATTCCGCGACACCTTCTCTTGGCAATGCAGTTGAAAGAACAGGCACGGCGTTCCTTCTCCCATTTTGAGCGCTGAATAAAGCTGTGCGCGGGCTCTCCTCCTCTCCCAAGAAATGCACAGAAAAGTTGTCGCGAAGGTTGGTGCTTAGAATAACTACAATCTACAATTTCAGAACAATTTAGAAGGATTTATTTATTCAAATTTATTAAAAGCCTCGCAAAACTGCGTCAAGTTTTTGTTTCTTAAAGTTAAATTTACATTGACAAATAAAATATCACCAATGTCATAGATGATATTTTAAGCACCTTTGCATTTCGTTTTCGTTCATCTCTACATAATTCACTGCGTCACGTTAGTATTATTGTCTGTTTCTCTCCTATGTTAATTGGTAGTAAAGTAATAGATATCATTTATTTTCCCTAACGCACTCAGTAACACAGATGGCAAAAAAGTAATTAAATGAAATTACTGATTACTTCTCTCAGAAATACGCAAATAAAAACAAATTACATTACACATTACCGCAGAATAAAAGTAATGACATTACATTACAATTACTTTAGAAAAGTAATGGAGTTACTTGAAATTACTTTTAAATTTCTGCAAGCGGTCATTCGTGCCGTGACAACGAAAGTCTTAAAGAATAATGTAGAGCTTCTTGAAATATGACTAAAACAGATAGCTGATCGGTTTCGCTGCTGATTCAACTGTGAAGTTGATCTGTTAATGGCTGATGTGATTGCGTCCTCGTGATTTTGAAAATGTCGTTCACTTCGTTTGGTCGGGCCATGGCAGCTCGTTTTTTCATGAAGTCGTCGAGTGTTGTGGGATGTGATATACTGCCCCTTTTGTGGCCTTTGGCGAGCGGGATTCATCATTCCCGAATCCATTTTGCACAAAGTTTACGGAATGACTCAAGCGTTTTCCTTCTGATTGGAACGCAATCAAACCGTTTCCTCTCAGGAGCACACTGGTCGACGCATTTCGGAGATTCTTCTTGGGGAGTATTGTTCTAAAACACCAGAAGAGCTAGCGCGAATCATCGTGCGTTGTCACGCAAGGGAGCCGGATGTTTTCCGGGGAAAAACGCCGCCGGAGTAGAAAAAGGGTGGCGGGCGTCTCCAGATATGTGTCCTTCCCCGACGAACTAGCGGTTGCTTTACCCTGACTTAACTTCCTAAGGTGAGCCTGCTTCGCTCGCTTTTCTCCGTTTCCGACTACATTCCTTTCACCCGTAAGCTGACAGCGCGGTGGGAGCTACGCGCTCGTCAGTCCAGTCGACCGCCTCCCTTTCTTCACCGGACTTCGCTTTCTGCGCGTGCGTGGGTATTGGCGGGGGCATGATCTATTGGCGAAAGATGGACGCACGACTGCTTGAACGAGCGTGCATCTTTTACCGCACTGTCAGCTTAGGGGTGAACGGAGCATACAAAAAGCACCTTTACCCACGAAGGACACGGCAACTCACGAGAAGTTCTGGATCATTGGCAAGGGATTTAGGAATAACTCCCGGCTCCTCGTCGCAGATTTTAACATGCGTTGATCATCCTAGTGATGTGTCCTGCACATTGTAGCCTGGAACGGTCCCCGATTACTTTTCGCCGTGGATCCTGCTTGTTTCGAGTATCGTGAACCGTAGCCTTCCAATTATGTCTTCGCTCAAAAGCATTTCTTGATCCGCTTCGCCTTTTGACCCCGCCTTTGTGTGTTTGTCTCACTCTCGACTCCCACGTCACTCTTTTTTTTCGCAAATGAGCTTCGGAAATAAGTAATTACAAAAGTAATACGTAATTTTCTCAAGATTACTGCCTGAAGGTAATTCATTACATTACTAAATTACCAGCGTAGAAATTTCATGAATCATGTCACTCATTACAGCCGAAAGTAATTTAATTAATTTTATTATGGTAATGTCAGTACCGCCATCTCTGCTCACTAAGTTGCAAAATGAAAAAGAGTAAAGGATTTTGAACGTAAAGACGTAGTTTCGCCTTAGCGCTTCCTTCCGTGGCACTTCAATTATGAAAGCGCCTAGTGATTTTATTTAGTAAAACTCTGCATATTTGCCTATTGAAAATATGGCAATAACCCCCCCCCCCCCCCCTCTTCGAACAATTTGACTTTCATACTATACCTTATAAATTATAAATCAAATCGCGTTCTCTTTGCAACAAACAAGACAGCAACGTAGGGGTGGCAACTCCTTGCAACCTCCTCAAAATATATGACCTGCTACAGCGTACTACAATACTAAGGAGGGCTAGTTGGATATGCATATTCCTAGTAAATAGCGCGGAGGTCAAGTACGCACTCGAAAGAAGCGCTATTTATTAGGAAAGTTCCGCAGGGTGTCCACCGAGGAAGGTGAACTGCGATTTTTTTTTTTTTTTTATCAGAAAAGTGAACAGCCCGGTCTCTGCTCAAGTGTGACTCTAGAGGTTCCGATAGATCAATAAAGTTTATTCCTGAGGTAATTGAAACTTAGATGCGATTTTTGAAAACGTTAAATGTACAAACGGTAGACGATGTAACCCATAAATACATGAAAACGAATACCTCTATTGCTGACGTCGGACTCCATTTTCCTGTTTAAATTTATTTGATAATGAGTTCTAGCTGCTTTGGTATTAAATCACTCGGAGTTCAGATAATTTGGTACATTAACACTAGTAATACAATCCCGTTCGAGCGACAAGAAATGGGGGTTTATGTGCTTTATTTTGCGACGCTAAAACACATATTGCGTCACGTGTGCGCGCAACATGCTGTCTAAACGAAGAGACAAAACATGATCGTTAAATCACGTGACCCGAGCACGTAACGCTATTCTGCTAGTTTACTAGTGCAGTCATCATGTGCCTACCACTGCTAACATTACTATCCACCATTTTGCTTTACAATGGACAGCAGTGGGCGCTAAGAGCCATTCCAACCAATCCAGATTGTACCACGTGACTACTCGGCCGCCGTATCGCTGCGCCCCTCCCGAAAGTCACGTGACATTCACACGGCGTAGTATTTGCTCGGATGGCTGGTAACGCTCACTGCGGTCCACCCTAAGGTGAAGCAGTATATACTGGCAATAGAAGAAAGAAAACAAGATTTTTGTTTGTTTTTATAGTCGTGTCAGTCACGCAGCTATCAGTGTCGGACAGTAAAACTTCCTTCAAAACTTCACACCGTAAATGACCTCCATTCTTGCATGAGCATAATTAACATGTAGCGAAAAGAATAAAACAAATTATAGGGTGCTGATTACGAAGCAGGATTACGAAATCTGCAGTTTTTACAACCCGATGAAAATGTCGGAAAGAAGTGGGCAACGCTGCTGTAGGCTTTTTAAGAGGAACGAAATCCGTTAAAGGAGGGATTGCAGAAATAAGAACATTTTTTAAATATTTCTTTATTATTTAAATTTTGTTCCTTGATTTTCTCGATTGTTGGCAAAGTTTTGCGAAATGACAGCAAACTGTCATTTTTTCTTTCGTCCTTTCGTCCGTTTTTTTATCTGCCTCCGTCTCAAGGGTACAAGTAGGTCGTTTCCTAACTAGCTTGCCAACGCTCTCTCAGCTCTAACACTCAAAGGACGCTATCGTGCAACGCGGTATTGGACTTTGCGCAGTAATTGAGGTCCAGCAGCTTGATTCCATCTTGCGTGTGCTCATCATAAAAGCAACTGTTTTTTTATTTCTTCTTTTCTGGTTGCCCGCAGCTGCTGCCTACGGTCTTCTGTCCATATCCGTTGCATTTTTGTCCGGAACTCTGCCGTCCATTGTGCAGGTTGGTACTTGTAAAAGAAAAGAAAAAAAGCTAAAAAAAAAACAAAAACTCCAAAGACAAACATTGTGAGGGGGATAGGTGCCGATAAAGCCACAAGAGTAGCTATGCTTAAGGTTATGGCCGCCAATTCTGCGATATTCTTGTAAGTGCCGCTATTTTTTTAGAGTGCAGGCTCAATTGGCGTTGGTTGCGGTTCAAAAATCCTACTTTTTGAATTTTAGATACTTTTGTCAAAACTCTCGGGCAAAGTAACCTTCCTCTGTTGCGCCTTAAAAAATATATATATAAAAAGATTTCGGATGAGGGAAAAGTGTTTCTTTTGATTTCAGATCAAGGTTTTTATTACTGGCAACACTGATCGTAAGCCTCAAGATGGCAGAAGTGTTACCTTAAAACGTGACATGCTTCGTGCCTGCAGGTGCCAAGACAGAAGGCGTCCTCCGTTGATCTGGAGAATAATGTAGACCACCCGGCAATGTTTGCATTTAGGTTGTTTTTCATGCAATGCTTGTTGCGCGTAAACGTTCCTGCATGCCATCCTCAAATTGAATACATTTGGGCCAGACTTTGAGCCTCCTAAGGGAGGACTGATGGAACAGTACCTCCTAGCGGAGACATTTTAGGAATCTAGAGTATAAAGTGAGCCATTCGTTGCATTCACGAGCATAAGAATTATGTCGTAAAATATAAATGTGTATTTTGCATCACTTTTCTAGACAACGAGGAATTTATCGTCTAGCGCTGTACAATGTTTCTTCAACTTTAGTTGTAAAATGTAAAACCAAGGGCCACTCAAAGCAGCGTTGAAGTCTTTAATTATGGAAACGCAAAATTTTGTTTTAACCAAGATGTAAAAAAAGAAGGAAAAAAGTTATACTCTAAGCGACCTGATTTCTGTGATGACCTTAACCTTCGCTCGAATGAAAATAATCGCAAGAAATGGGTCTCGAGAATATATCCCTGCATGGTAATGAATACGTAGCACACCACTGCAAATGACGAAATTGTGTGCCTGAAAACTATTCTCGAAATCCACATGACGCCAAAATCGCAAAATATTGAACCCACAAAAATACAGTTGTTTACAGTAATTACACAGTTTGTTTTGTCCTCTGTTTCGATCTGAAAGATCGTGTATATTAATCATGACGTTTTGCATCGAATGGGACGCAAACTGATCAACTTAAACTGAACTGTTTTTCTCATTTATTTCTCAAAATATTTCTGCTGCAATGCTGATTCAGTTTCAGGCAGACCATTTTCATGGATGCCGCGTGAGAGCACTAAGGGTATTTTAGGTTCACATCGCAGTTGTTAACGAGCAAACCTATAAATTAAACATTTAATGTATTTTCGAGTCTACCGAGTGCCACTAGGTGCGTAAAATAGCTGCGCGTGAGCGTGCGCTTTTTTGTTTTTAAATCACAGCTAGTTAAGCTGGTTTGTGAGTATGACTAAGCTTGATAATTTTTTATTAAAATAATAGAATCAATCCATCAGTCTGCAGGCACGAGAGGTCAGCTAATAAAATGTCCGGTGGATTTCTTCACTCCAAAACTTTAATAAGAATGTGCCAACTTGAAAAACCACAATCTTCCATTCTGCAAATATTGTACAATGTCATGAGCGTTACTAAATTTCTGACTCGTCTGATTCAATAATGTCCACGACGACTTTTACACATTTCAGGCAACCACTAGCCTCGTGGGCGCCATGTCTGGACCTCTTCTCGCCATCTTCCTCCTTGGAATCTTTTTTCCTTTCTGTAAGAAAAAGGTACTCTTTTGAATTGCTTTACTTTGTTATTTATGCTGAAGACTTCACATTTATGGTAGAAGCAAGCTGTTTTTTTTAATTTTCTTTCAGCAATGTCACAGATTTGTGAAAAACATTGGCAATGTTTTGTATTGGAAGATTACAATACGTTTCTGAAAAAAAGAGAAAGATGTGTCATGGCGTTTAAGGGAAGATAAAAAAAACGGACACTGGGGCCTGTTCAGGATTGTTTTTATTTCGCATGCTCATTCACACTGTGGAAAAAGGAAAGGCGAAAGAAACAAAAACTTTCAAGTTACAATGTTGCAAAACGACGCAATGCATTAACCAAAGTTGCATTGCGACCTCTGCTCCTCAACAAGAACAAAGCGGTTTGATTTTGAAGAACACCAACTGTTGTAATTACACGTAGAAGAGCGCGTTGAAACACTACGTAATATACAGAAAGAATAGAACACGTAAAGGACGAACATAGACACACACATTTCTTTCAATGAGCAACGAAAATTTATGAGATGTCCAAGACGCTACGACCTTGAACTCTAAAGAATTGAAGGAAAGAAAACAAAAATACTTAAAATTAGAATGAGACCAAATTACTCACAAATTTTAAAAATACCAAATTAAAATAATAGGGAAAATTATAAAAAAAAATTAACCCATGAAAAAGGGGGGAAAAAGAGAGAAAGAAAAAGGAAGGATATTAACCCCTGAAAAAGAGAAAAAGAAGAAGAAAGAAAATGAAAAGAAGGCAAAATTAATAATGATCAAAACAAGCCTCTTTTTACGACGATTCTGGCGCGAGAAATTTAAGCTCTTTTGATGATAACGCCAAAGAACGCTCAGAGACATTGTTCGCGGCGTTTCCGACCTTAAACGCTCCAATTATTTCGCGCCCACACTTACCTCTGTGTGAATCAAGCACAGTCGTATTTTCAACAGAAGCATCTCTTCATATTGAATTTCCGCCAGCCCTTCAGGATTACGAACTCCACAGAACTCATTTCTCACCTTACCTCTCTACACGTCACAACCAAGCCACACTCCATGTTTTTATTAGATATAGAAGATCTTTACCACAGTCTGGACCCCAGAATTCTCTTAAATTCAGTTTCTGATGCTATTTATGAGCACGGTCCATGCGCGTTCCGAAATACATCAGGGATCTCCATAAAGAACTTCACTGATCTCCTTAACCTTCAGTCCACGCTTGTTGAATACAACAAAAACATTTTTAGACAAAAGAGATGTTTCTGTATAGGCTCATGCCTAGCCCCGGTGATCAGTGAAGTCTCTCTCGTGTAGATAAAGCCAGCCGTGAAGTCTCAAATTGATGTGATAGCTCCCGAAAGTCGAGTGTTCCGATATGTAGAAGATTATCTAGTCGTTCATCCGTGCTCCATCTGTTCGCTGGCCATTTGTAATGCCTTTAATTCTTGCTCGTCGGGTCTGAACTTCATGAGTGAAGAACAAACAGATGAAGGTCTACAGTATCTGAATTTTAAACTTTATCTTCATTCTCAAGGTCTATCTTAGAGTTTTCAGCAACGATCCAAAAAACCTGTTCGTCCGTCCTGCAGTGATCACACCAAGTTTGTAAAGCTTGGAATCATCCGAACCCTCTTTGCTCTTCTCGCTCGAAATCCTGTTCACATCTCTCATCAGAAAGCGTCCTACGTCAGCATGACCGCCTGTTCCAAGCCGGTTATCCAGCCGAGGTTAAAACAAATGTGCCAGAGGGTGAATAACGAGAGTCGACCACCCGAACGCTCCATCAAGCACTCCAACAAGTATGCTAACTGTAAAGAGAAGGTAATGTATTCGTTTCCACTGAGTTGCGGAGGCCAATACATCTGCCAGACTGGAAGATGCCTAAATATTCGCCTTAGGGAGCACCATTTAAAAGTTACCAAGGCATCATCGGATTCATTCCACCCAATAGTTGTGCATGCCCGCACCTGCCGCGATTGCACCCCAAACTTTGAAAACACCAATGTGCTTGATTCCCACAGAGATTAATGTGAGCGCGAAATAATTGAAGCGTTTAAGATCAGGTACGCCGCGAACAATGTCTCTGAGCCTTCTTTTGCGTTATCGTAAAAAAAATCAGGAATTTCTAGCGCCAGAATTATAGTAAAAAAGGCTTGTTTTGATCAATTATTAATTTTGCCTTCTTTTCCTTTCTGGTCTTCTTCTTTTTTTCCTTTTTCAGGGGTTAATTTCCAAGTCCTTTCTTTTCTTCTTCCTTTTCCCTCTTTTTCAGGGGTTAGTTTTCCATAATTTTGGCTATTATTTTATTTTGGTATTTTTAAAATCTGTGAGTAATTTGGTCTCATTTTAAATTTGAGTATTTTCGTTGCCTTGCTTTCAATTCTTTGGAGCTCAAGGTCGTAGCGTCATGGGCATCTCATAAATGTTCGTTGCTCATTGAAAGAACTCTGTGTGTGTCTGCGTTCGTCCTTACGTGTTTTATTCTTTCTGTGTATTCTGTTGTAATTAGTAGTTGTCTTTGACACTTTTGCACGGGTTTAGGATTTTACGATGAGATGGTTGCTTTGAGTCGAATCATCTAGTGTTCAAAAGGAATTGAAGAGAAAAACTCATGAAACCACGTACATGGGACATTGGCACGCAAACAATTCTCGAGGGAATAATAGTACTCACCAGAGTCAGCACACGGTTCTGTAAATATATATGTATATCTGCAGAACATATTTACAATTGTTTATCCACAAGCCCCTATTTCACAGGAAACCTCGTATATTCTTAAGTTTACATTCTGTTGCTTTACCCTTCTGGTGTATACTCTCTCCTCCTAAAGCCGGTAGCGACTTACCCCATATAAAATGCCCACATGACTCCTGTAAGATACACTCCTATATATTACAACTACTGTTTTATTCGAATGCCGTCTTAGCTGACTACATTGAGTCATTTTGCGTGCACGTGGGCAAAGAAGGCTTCACCTCACACGTTTCATGCATAGCTTTTAGTGGAGCGGGAATGTATGCGGAGCGGAAGTTCGTCTGCTTCTACCACAGTGGTTGCGATGATGTCAAAATGCCGTGCTTTTATTGGCTGAATAAAGAAACAAAGAGTGGGTAGGCCTCAAGGTATCCAGCATTAAGGTTTACTCACTATCCTTTCAATCAAAGCCAATCAGAGCTCGGCGTCGTTCTGACGTCACCGAAACTCCTGCGCAAGAAGCAGACGACCTGCTCTGCGCATAGCCATTTTGTGTACCGCCACTTAGCCCTGGTTTCCGCCCTCTTGGAGACGGTCGACCGAGCGGCTCTATTTGCCGTTGGAAACGTGAGTTCCCAGTGCGGCCGCAATCAGTGGTATTCAAGTTTTTTTATATATATAGTGCGCAAAGGGCTTTCCGCCTGTTGCAGTTACCGTCGAGTCAACACAACCTAGAATAATCAAGGCTTTCCTCTTCATCCATCGAACATCGAGTCGGATGGCGCATACTCGGCATTTGGACGCGAGCCCAATGCCGAGCATGATTCGACGCGCTCATTGAACAAGAGGCCCAACCGAGCACTGACGCAGCTCTCGTATCCAATCGGCGCCTTCGCTCGATCTCATTGTGGTTATGGACACAACTTTACGCGCAGGATTTTATTATTCTAGGTGGTGCTGGTCTGGTATTGTAGCTCGTGGTGAATTAGCGTAAGTAGCGCAAGCACGAGTAACAAAAAAAAATGTATTCAATCTTAAAATCATGGCCGTGACGTCACCACAACAAAAACTGGGGCAGTACTGTGTGAATCCACATGACACTTACATAAATAGCTGTGACACTACATTACATCCTATTGTATTTTATGCACAAATAACAACAGACGCAGCGTGAGACTTAGGTGGCGTGATACAACGTCACTGGATCTTCGGCATTCTAGCTTACGCTGCGCGAGACTCATGTGCTCAGCCATCCTCGACACTTGCGGTTTGCTAGGCGGCGCGTTGAAGCAGCTGGGACGACCAGAGCGTTAGGCTAATCACGGATGAATGTTTGCCCATTTTTAAAAGCGTCGAACCGTACAAACGTTGTTGTCTTGCTAATGAGGACAAATTTATGCTTTTGTAGCATTCCTATATAAAGTTCATGAGGTTTCCCGATCCCCAATCTCACAAGATGTGATAAATGCTCGCTGCTCCTTAACAAATATAACAGTTTGGAACGCTGCCATTTTGAATATGCTGCCGCTCTCATTTTGAACATTCCGCCACCTATTGGGCAATCTTATCAACTTTTCTAAGAATATAATTTTCATGCTTACACGTACGTTGAGCTCCAATCAAAGTGGCACATACACTCTCTTCGCATCTAAATTGGTATGGAAAATTGTGTTTGTGTTTAAACGAATAAACAACGAAGAAAAGCCACCATTAATTTCTTTTGAAGTTTTCCAATATGTAATCGCTCTTGTAGCTAGAGCGGCCGCCCGACATTTTTGGTGACGCTTGCCTAACAAAATCGCCGGTCTGTAAACACGGGGACCCAGGAGGTGACCGAGCCTTTTTATTACAACGCGCCGTTAGTTTCTTCCGCCTTCCTTTGTTTGCAACAAAAGATAGACATAATATCTGTTTAAAGCTTGCTTTAGGAGACCATCAACAACATTTTCTGGTTTGCCGATTGGTGGTACTAAATAATTTTGGGAAATACCTATGGAGACTTCACAAAGCCTCAACTGCGACTTTTATGTTTTTTTTTAAATTATGTATCTATTTGCGGCAGGTGTAAGTTATTTTTCCTGTTGTATCGTTTCATTGTTGCAACTGCTTTTAAAGATGCGAAACGGGATCTTCTCAAGTCAACAACTGTTGGCCTTTGGTCACTTCAGGCAAACTTGCATAAATGCAAACAAAATATTTGAACAATTGTTCCTATTTCCAGTCTCTTTTTCAATCTCAGATTTTGATTATGCACTGTAATGTTCAACCAATAACTAAGTGTACTTTCTTGCGTTATTGACTCGCAGGCAGATTACGCACTTCTAAAAGAAGCAGTACCCTTTTGAAAATACCGCTTCAGCCCTGATGTGTTTTGCGACCCTCTCAGAGCTTTAAACCCCTTAACCCATCATACATCTCAGCCCTTCAAACCCCTTCAGCCCTTCAAAAAACTTGAGTCCTTTAAGACACATCAGCCCTTCAACCCCTTAGGCGCCCAAATGACTGGGAACGATAGACCTAACATGCGTTTTAAAACGTCTTGGGAAATTCATTTCCGACTTTAAGTTTCGCAATATGCTGAAGCTAAGACGATAAGAACCAACGTTTACTCAAACCTGTGCGCAAGCAGCTGTAGACAAAAGAAATCAGATTATATAGGAACAACTGAATTCTTTGTCGCAAAATATCTTTCGAGGTACAATTCTGCTGGGTAAATACCTGGGACGTATGGAAGATAAACTAATAAAAACAAAAACATCGCACGCACATATGCACACTGTCAGTAGAACGTTTACCGAAAACCACAAGCGAACAACCAACATCCACCGCCGCTGAAAAATCCTGAACACAGTCACTGTGTCGTCCCTGTTGCCGTTGCGTTGGCCCCAGAAACAGGGCACTAAGAGACGTTCTTGATTCGTAAAGTCAGTTGCTCAAGAAGATAGGTCCTTCGCATGGGGCGGGAAGCCGACACTGAGTATCCGCTCCTGGTTGCTTATTTAGTCTGCGCTCATTGACGGAGGAAAAAAAACAGGGCTACCAGCTTCTGAAGAAGGCGGTAATTCGATTGACTAAACCGGTTATCTTCAAACAAACAGCAATAAGTCTCCCTCTCAATTTTTCTCACGTACCCTTTTTTCCTTGTGAGCGAGGACTTCGCTTCCTTGGGCATCCCTTGTTGAACCCGTGAAACACGTACAGGGAACTCACAGTCGCAACAATGGGTATGCGTTAACCAAGGCCACGACAGGATAGGGACGAGAGAACGTCACCGCGAAATGTAACACTCATTGCGGCCCCCCCTACAAAATGGCTAAGCGGCTTTCCCGATGAATACATCCTGAAGGGTCACGTGATATTTCCCACAGACCCGTTAAAACGAATTTGATGGGTGCGGTAATCTTATGTAAATAATCGGGACATACGCCACATGCCTCTAAAAGCTATGACGGGTCTCTTAAACTCTCTTGAAAATTTTGAAGGGCGCATGAGGCCCTTTAGATAACTTTGACGAACATTTTAAACCCTTGAAAAGGTTTTGAAGGGTACGTCAAAAACATCCCCTATAGACATTTTTGCGAATAGGGTAGGTATGTGTGACATGATGCCGTTTAAAAGATCTGATATTACCCACATTTTTTGTGGAAACCGATATGTGTATACTTGCCCCGCTTTTAGGGTGTGATTACGGGCGCCTTGGTAGGCGTGTTCCTGGCCTCGTGGCACGCCTTGGGCTCCATCGCCTACCCACGGACAGCTAGCGGACTGCCAACGTCGACAGCGAGCTGCCTGGAATTCAATCAGACGCTCACCTTCGGGTCTTTTGAAGCACCGCCAGTACCGAAGTAATACTTTGGGACGTCGTCTTTATTGCATAGAACTCGCTAGTACTGTCGACAGGGCGGCGCGTTCTGTGGTTTATTCTGACTACATTTGGTTATGTTTTGACTTTTGAGTACGTTACCAAATATTGACGTACACACTACTTACAAAAAAGTCAGCGTTTACCCACACAAGTACGGACAATAGCCGTGTGCAGAAATCATATTCGCGTGAAGCGAAGCGTGCGCCGGCCCAATAACAACGCCACAGCAGCGACGTGGCTTCAGGGCCGCGTGTCGGTGGATAAAGGTCAAAGACGCGGCATTAAAAACCGTTAGAATTTCACAGAAGAGACGGTGTTGGCATAAATGCCAAACAAGTTCATGCTATCTTCCATCATGGCGGTAAGGCAAAACACAAGTAAAATACATGTGTTTCTTTGTAACGGCTTAGTCGATTTGCTGTCCCAATCGTGGACAGAGCCGGTTTAGGAGGAGTAGCATTGGCATCTTTGTGTAGTTCGTATTCCTTTCAAAGTTTCAGGAACCTAATTTGTGGTACAATTTTACAAAATATATGTCAATTAAAAAGATAAGATGACCTATCTTTTTTTTTTCAAATAGCGAAGTCATTGACGCAATTGCCCACACTCTGAATCAGTTAGCAGTGCTACTTTTGTTGATTTCTAAAAGCACAAAGATGAAGCCACGCCAATGTTCTGATACATTTGTTTTAGTTTTTCTTTGACCACCATAACTACAATTGAACCAGTGTTTTTTGCTTAAAATGCCAAGTTTCCGCCAGCTCGCCCCTGCACTCGCCTTTTGCTAAACGTTTCCGCACAATAAAAAAAAAAAAAAAAAAACTTTACTATTTTTGAACGTCCTCCTATCGAACAATATTTAAGGAACATTGGTTGTGCACATATATATCTTAAATACCACTTCTTAACGACCTTTTACCTCACTGTGTGTCCCAAACCGGTTACAAGGCTACATAATTGGGAAGAAAAAAACCATATAGAATTGCGATATACTGTAGGGAAAGAACAGGAATATGTGATTATTCGAAGAGAGGAATACCTTTTGGAAAGAATACGCGTGCTACATGATTCATTTCGCCCTTGGCACGTGAAAGTCTTGCTAACTCACAGATGGTAAAAAATAACGAGACAGCAGTGGATTTGCATCCCCGAACCTTCGGTTACGAGCCAGACACGCTACTGACTAGGCATGTCCGCCGCACTTTGTGCTCACTGGCAGGAAGAGCATGAGAAGCGACCGGTGGTGGCAAACAGAAAAGACAAGCGCAATGAAGATACAGTTTTGGGCTGGTTGATCGGCTTCATCAGATTGTAGTGTCGGCAGTGGTCGCACTTAATGTGAAAAGGAGTATAGAAGAAGGGCAGGAAACAGTTTGCAAAAAAAGGTGATCGATAGGTTTTTCTATTTTTCTCTCGTAACTGAAATAACTAGTGTTCATCTCGGGCATCAGTAGATGGACAATATTAGCGTGATAGCGTTAAGGCGTTCGTGTAGCAGAAAAGCCGGCCTCGGTGGCGTGACGCGAAAATCCTGATTGGTCGATAGGGTCATGATATCATAGCCACATGACGTCGCGCGGGAATTTCAAACAAGCCTCAACGCTCGCGTGAACCGTGACATTACGCGTGGAATGAGAATGATTTAATAACTTGTTATGTAATGCGAATTAAAGGTTGTCGCATGTTTAAATTGATTTCAATTTATAAAGTAACAAATTTTTCTTTAAAAAATTGTGAAAAATTTCAGGTGGGATTTTAATCCATGACCCTTCGGTTGCGAGCCAGACACGCTACTGACTGGGCCATCTCAACCGCACTTCCTGCTCACTGGCAGGAAGAGCATTGTAAGCGACTGAGAAGGCGATTGGAACGGAGAACGATAACGCTTTCGCGTTCCACTCTTAGAGGCGAAGCTAAAGCGTCCTCTAAGTTTTTAGTGATCATGTCCGTATATGGGAGTAAAGGAATAAATTAAAGAACAGTGCTATTGTCGCCTTCGTAGTGTCGCGTGTTGGGGATACCATGTTTTATTTTTATTTATATGAACTTAAACGCGGTCGTCCAATAACTCGAAAAGTTAATGAACAACCATGTATATTTTATCTTAATGCCCTGCGACAAAAAAACTAGTCTTGATTTTTTTTTTATGTTAACCTCTACAAACGTTAAAGCAAATACGTTTATTCTGGGACTTTTCTCGAACGTGGTAACCTTTAGAGAAGCCAGCTGTAGCAGCACCCGATTTATAGTTCAAAAGAGGAATATACCGAAACGAGACGAATGGAAACAACTGACATCCCAATGTCCTGTCTGCCCTTAACTGCAGCGGCATCCTCATGTTCTACCACATCTCGTATCTTTGGACCGGCAGCATTGGTTTTTTGTCCTCCATCCTCGTGGGACTCGCCGTCAGCCTCATCTTCGGTGAGTCCACCGCAGGGGTTGCCATACTTAAAAGGCAACTCCATTACATTTTTGTTATTTTGAAAGCGACGAAACTTGTTGAGACTGACGCTCAGGCCAGCCGGCGGAATCAGCAGACCCCGGTTAGCCAAAGCATGTCAGCGCTGTGTGTATGCACTCCCTTGTTTCGTGCTCGTCATTTGTAAGAGCTGCTCTCACCGTCAGAGGAAAAAAAAAACAATGCTGTTCAGTTTAGTGTCATTCGGAAAGACCGCAGCTCAAAACCAAAAGTAAAACTGCGTCAATTTTTGCTTTTCATGTTGAGTTTTGAGGTGTCGAGTGAATGAATGTTCGTGTACTCCGTTTCACCTTACGATAACCGCAGTAGGCAATGCAGGCCATCGGAATCTATACGATACTGTGCGAGGAATATATGACCTTCAGAAGGAGTGCAGCAACTCGCGGAATGCGTTGTTACGATACACCTTCACAACTCTGGATTGCCTGGGATGGTTTGCAGCGTTAATGCAGTCCATTAGTGTAAGGTAATGTCGAGTATAGAACACGGGAACTCCCAAGCAATGTTTAAAATCAAGTGTCAGTTTTTTTTTTTTTTTTTTTTTTTAATGCGAAAGGGTTAACTGTCTCAAGGAGCAAGCTGACGTCCTCAGTTTGAAGCACGAAAACGGCACCTAGTTTCCTTTGGTTCCATTGGCTGGTGCGCTTCGACGGGGCTCCCATTGGCCGCTGCTCTCGTTAGTTTCCACGACTGCTCACGCCATGACGCTGCGTGTTCATCAGCCAAGCCACGAGGGGAGGCTTCGGCGCTGCCATCGCTCCGTCTGACGTAAATGAGAGGAGTATTATTCCACCTTGTAAATTATTTGACAACGCTTTCTTCACCTCGTCGCCACTCGTATTGCAAACGCGGCCCATAAACCACTTGACCAACCCCGATCAAGCAGGTGGAAACACTAAAATCTAGCCTCTCTTGGCTAGATTTCGAAAGATGTCCTGTTCCCGTCCTCGTCCTCTCTGTTTTATACTTTCAAGTTTTGTGTCTCTCCTGCCACTCATCGCTCGAAGCACCATCTAGAGGCTGTGTTTCAATACCTTGTATTTCACAAATTTGACGAAGCGCCATCTGGAGGCTGTATATAAAAACCTGTCTCTTCCCCTGAGTACACTGTAGTTACCATAGCAGCCGTCCCCAAAACGGTGGCGCTTCAAACGAAAGAAGACAGACCTTGGAGAGAGAGAGGGGCACTGTTCGTGGAACCAGAGTTTCTGGGCAATTCCGCGATGCGCGACTGCGTCTGCACGCAACGCCCCAACCCGACAGCACCCCGCCCGGAACGAAAAGCGCGAAGCCCGAGTGAAATTTCTACCAGATTTGTCCTTGCTCCGACACCTCTCTCTAATTCCACCATGTACGCAGGCTAGAATCGCCATTTCACGCTGCGCTTTTGGGGTTTGCTTGGATGACAAGGCAGCACACACTCGCAGTAAATTGGCAAACGCTGGAACTTTTCCCTTTCTGCGCTACATGATGGACTCTGTCGGCTTCTGTATAGCGTCGATAGTGCTCCGTTGTATTGTGAAACGAAGGGTAGAACAAATATGCAACTCGTGTATCTTTCAAGTAGCGACTCCTTGTGCGGCACCCACTGACGCGACGGTGCCGGAAATAATTAGAAACATGGCTCAATGTATTAGAAGAATGGAATGGAAGAAGTTAAGTTCTTCGGCTACGTGTGATTTAAGTCATGCATGTAAGCTTTCGTTACTTGTTAGAGGGGCAAGGCAACGATAATCAATTCGGATTTTTTTTTCACTTTACACGAGCTTGCTGGCACTAGTTGGGACTGAAGGAAACTCGCACGCAACGCCACTGTCCAGAAATTCCTTTGTAGTGGTGTAATTTCAAAGACGAAAGCGAGCGTTTTCATTCAGTCTCTCCTTAGAAAATCGTGATGCCGTATCTGGGCGGTCGCAGTATCGCCCAGTGACGATATTTAAATACGGCTCATAGATTGGAGCCGAACATTGCTTGCGTACTTGATTTGGGCTTGTGTACAACCGCTGCAATAACGACAATAGCCGAACAATAAAAATGTCTGGAACTCAGCGCGTGTTTTGTTCCTTGCCAACCCCAACCCGTGGCTATGATCAACTTTGACGGCATATAATCGACTCCAGATTACGTTGCCGCTTGTTATGGCTGCGAGTTAAAGGGGTTAAACGCTGCTCGTTTCTCTTTAATTTTTTTTTCTGCGACTTTGATTGCGTGTCGTGAAAAACGAATGGGTGTTTCACAGATCATTAACATCAGGGATCCGTTCTAAGCGGTATTTGCGCAAAGCACACGAATCGCTGCATCGCACCTTTGACCTAAACCGATGACTCTATCCAGGGGCTTTAGCAAAAGGTATCACTGCGCGACACCACCTGGCTGTCAGTATTAAAGGCCGACGGACACTTGGCGCTTTCCACTTTTGCCCGCCTCCTCCTTTCCTATATCCTCTCCGCTATTTATTTTGCCCCGACTTGACTCCCGTGGCAGCTTAGGAGGGGAAGGGGGAGTGCTAAAAGGACTGTTTTTCCTGCTGAAAACCGTGGTTGTACGTTGGTCTTTAAACCGCAATATCACTGATCATTCGTCCTACAAGATAGACGGCGTTCACTGCAGACATGACGGCAGAATTATCTACGAACGCGCTTGAAACATGCTGTCTTTATACATACGCGTTTCTCGAACATGTCTGCAGGCAGCTTTTGTATGGCCAATGTGCAAGCAAGGAACGTCCTCCTTAGATAGTGTGTGTACACTGTCTTTTGTATGACATTTTATCGTTCTGACCGTGGCTTTAGGGTACGCTTGTTTTGCGAGAATGTGGACTTTGTTGAGGATTCGCAGCTTTTGGCAGTGGTGGTACCGCGGTGTGAACATCACGCTCCCTAATATCAAGAATCAAGAAGTTTGCTTACATTTTCCGGTCATAAAAAATACGATGCTAGGCTAATATTTAGCGAGGTCGGAATTGCTTACGCGCCACAGGTCTGTGTATTGCTGCTCATACCTCGATCACTCAAACGACGGCCATTTTCATAGGTGCCAGCGCGCCTTCTATATGTCGTGAAATTTGTCGAATTGTTTTAAACGACGATCACGCGGACGAATGTATAACTTCTTCCCGCTACGTCTTTTAAAAAGGGGCGCACAGTTCTTACCTTTTCCGTTGTTGGAATGAGGGGTTTCGGATAGGCGAGCTTGTGTACTGTAAAACGTCGATGCATTAAGAAAAGACGAAAGGGTGAAAAGGTACAAGAAATAACGTAAAGAAAGCCTTTAAGACGTCGTTGTCTTTGTTTTTTTGTTTTTTTTTTCGTTTCATCTTGTTCGGGGGTTCTATTAGTGTCTCCGTTCTTTGTGTTTTTCGGCAATCCAGTTTTGTGGAGGCCTTTCTCTTTCAAACTTTACTCCGACAAGCAGTATCCTAGAAACAAACCTCACACAAAAGTTAGGACAGTAGGTATTTTTTTTTATAAACGTATTAATTTTGTTTGCTTTGAAAACCGCAGAGCGAGATGACACGGACAAAGTGGACCCGAAGCACATATGTCCATTTTCCCGGAGGTTCATGGACAACTACGACGCCACTAAGACGGCCAAAGTGTCGGAAAATATTTGCATGGTATGATCGTCTTTGCAAGAGGTTCTGCACATTCTATAGAAGTGATCACCTGCTAGATTAATGGTTCCTTATGTCTGGCATGGTAGGAAGCGTTCTCTCGTAGAGCTTCATCGATTTAATTAATGAACAGATTTATGCGAGCGAGGTATTCCGAGAAGGCTCTGGTTTAGATATAGGTACACTTCAACTCATATAACGTAGCAGTCCACAAAAACCTTAGTCCGACTAAGTAAGTAGTGTGTCTATAACAGTGCGAGTCGCATAAATAGCCGACCTTAATGTTTGGGTAATTAAAAGCATACTGGCAAAATTAAAATATAAATAACATATTTATACTCAAACTTACTTAAATATTACCATTAACATACTAAGACAATATTAACGCACTTGAACATTTAACCCAATGCTATATTCTATTCTAAACAAATAAATAACTCACTGACGACCACCCCTAGTAAAGCCATCAAAGTGACGTATATTCTTTTAGAATATGTGTGACGCAGCAAGCTGCCCTCCAACAATCGCCGATATACAGAGCGATGCTTGGCGACGCCACTACGTCATCGCTTCCTAACATCCTAGGTTGGTGTATGACCGAGGATGAACTAAAGAACTGCAGTAGGGTGGAAAGTTGGGCTAGTTGGTAGTTATTCATCTTGGTTTTAAAAACGCACAAAAGACGAGGACCGAGTAAGTCCGTCGTTTATGTTTCTTACTCTGTCCTCGTCTTTGTGCGCTTTTAAAACCAAGATGAACTAAAAACCCCAGATAAGAGCTTCGTACAAGTAGCAACATTTTTTTAAGCGCCAACGGCATGACGGTGCAGGTTTTAGGAAGCGAACGGTGGCGCACAGCAGAGGTTTGAAGTGAATGCCGCCATTTTGTTCCAGCGCAATGTGTTCTGTCATCTTCATTGGCTGTCGTTACTTCTAAAATGAGTATCAAGGGACTTCAGGATAAACAAGGTTGGAACCGAAAGTTCTCGGAGCGTGCCAATGGGACTTCGGCGGGAAAAGAACGGCGTCATTGTCGCGAGGGTCCAATCGGCGAGCTCCGTGGACTCCGGCCCCGACATTTCGTTTGACCAGTCTGGGGCCCCTGCACTGTCGCTTAAATGCCTGCTTAATTTGCCAACTCAAACCATACGTTGGTGTTATTTTTTTTATTAATTGTACACCTTCATGGCAGCACTTTCGTGACCCTGTTCGGGTCTGCAAATGACTAAACGATATTTCACGACGTTTCAAAAACTTGCAATAGGCGCGCTCTGGTAATCGTTTTATTTGTTTTAAGTTATCTCTAATGCTCTAAGTGAAATAATGATGCGTCAAGGTCAGTTTAGAGTATCATTGAAACCCACGGCAATGCATTGAGTGCAGACCTTTGATTTAGGTACACTGCTGAAGGTGTATTGAAGGCATCGAAAACGAGGAAGAGTGTTACACGCGGGTTTTCTGGAAAAGAAAGTGCTATAGCAAGAGGAAAAAAAAAAAAAGCTCGCTTGTTATTTTTTTTTTATTTTGCAGGAAATTTATGCGACACTGGTAATTGCCGTCTGATCGCTACACATGTCATCATATCTTTGACAAATTGGAGTGTGCTGGCGAGCTACACGGATAAAAAGAAAGCTACTAAAGGACTAGGCCAAAAACAAGGACGAAGATACAAAATTATGTTAGGACCCATCTTCGTCCTTAACGTAGCTTTCTTTTTATCTACTAATACTATTCATGCCATCATTTTCATTTTACTTATTTTATTTTCAGGATGAACACGAGCTGAAAAAACTCATGGTCGGCGACTGATGAAGCAAGCAGTTTGTCCCCTAAACATTACAAAACAGGTTGTTGAACGGAGGCCTTAAAGTTTGGAAGACGCATATATGTAAATATCTCGCAAATGCATTACAGCTTAGTGGCTGAAGCCACACGACGGCCATCTTAAATTCATCCAAACATTCGGCATTCCGGTTGTGCGTGATATTTTTAAATAATCCGTACCTTCCGTTTGGTAACTTTTAGAGTCGACTTTACGAACACATTATATAGGTTTCGAATTGTGTTTAAGATAATATTTAAAATAAGTCATATCAGTTGGTCTTTTTGGCTTTATATTTCCGTTCTTACTATAAACGAGTATTCAACAAAATATTTGACTTGAAGGCACATGGCTGTACGTTTGCAATCTCTTATATTAAAGCGTGTCTTAAATATGGCTTTTTGCGAAAAATAGTGAACTTTTGAGACCTATAAATAATTATAGAAATGACAAGGACGTGTATACAAATGTTACAGTCATCAGTACTTGCACAAAGTTATTTTCACGCGTCTCGCGTATAAAATTAAGCATTTATACACTCAAACTTCAATTCGTGGAACAATTGCACCGAATGTAAGGACAAACACCTTCAGTCAAGACTTCTACCAAACACAAAATAACTCATACAGAATATATATCCCGTGGTCCTTTCTATTTTTATTTACTTCGAAGCATGTTTTCAAAATAAGTCGTACTAGAAAATGTTAATTTTATTGTGCGAATTGGTACATTGATAAATTGACACAACGTTTACACTTGTGTTACTGCTCGTCACTCAGGATCAAAACACTAGACTAGCAATACCAATATCCTAGTGTGAAAGTTGCAGAACCCAGGGATCCTGGGTTCAATCTCCACCCGTGCCCGTCTCAATCTAGATGAGCATCGTACCGGCGTGCGGTCGAGTATCACTAGTGCGTGAGCACGTTAACGACTTTTTTTTTGCAAGTTGATAATTGTTTTCAGACATTACTGAAATATGTTTAAGTAATATCTCTTGCGAACCGTTGGTTTTACAGCGGAGCTGTTAAGGGCTAGGTTCCCGAGGATCGTGTCCGGTACAAAACAGTTGTCGACAAAAACGCCTCTGGACAGCTACCGCCATCTATAAGCGACGGCGGCAAGCATACAACCAGTATGGTTTCCACCGTCGCTCATAGATGGCGCCAATCTTTCCAGCTATCATAGAAGAATAGATAGTTGGGCGGCGCGTTGGTGGGAATTCATAGTAGGAAACAGCGCGAAAACAGACGACGACAAAGAAGAAGCACAGTAACGAGCGCAGCGCTCGTCACGTGCGTTTCTTCGTTTTCGTCTGTTTTGCACGCTGTTTCCTACGCTCTTATCAGTTTCGGTTTGGACGACGGGTTTGGACATAGGATGGGTTGGCCTAGGGTGCCTTCATGTGCGCTTTGCTTGGGGTAATGACATCTTGCCATTTTGTTTCGAACGCTTATTTTTATTTTTTGTTCTGAAGCGTGTGAAAGAGGGTGTCCCTGCACGTGCTCGTGGCGCTGACTGTGCTACGGCGACATTTTGTTTCCTGCGATTTTTTTGTATTTTGCCTGTGAGCGCGTGCTGTCGTCATCGGTTACTACAAATGATGGCATTACCCTAAACAGAAGGACATCGAGGCTCCCTAGGTCGGCCGCGCGCCCTTTCGGGGAAAGAAGACTGGCTGCGGAAGGAGCGGCGACGTACGCAGCGGCGCGAATGGGTCCGTAACCGCCGCAAAGCCGCTGTCGCCTCGACTTCCACTGCGCCAAGCGCTTCAGATTCCCTTGCCAAAAAAGAGCCCATCGCTCGCCTGGAAAGCCGCCGCCGAGAACAGAACCAGAGATGTAAAAAGCGCCGGCGGGCCAACGCCACGGACGACGATCGTGCGGCGGAGGCCAAGCGCAAGCGCGAGGCTTGGCGACGACTGCTCTCCACGCCGGCTGAACAGTTCCCAGGCGTGACGGCGAGGTTCCGGAGGGAGTTCATGGATTACCCGTTCGGCGTGACGTGCGCCGTGTGCGACCGACTCTGCGTCGCCGGAGACGTATCCACGAGTGGCGGCGTGTCGGACGAGAAGAAGCGGGAAACGGGCGCGTGCGCGTTGCGGCAGTGTATCGAGTACTGCTCCGCTAGTCTTCCTTCTTCATGAAAGTGGAAAGGCTGAACGTTTTTTTTAATTTTAAAATCGCAAATAAAATCAAAGCATATAAAATAGTCCGTATATACATCAGTCACTTCGGTTGATACAAATTACAATAACGCTCAGAAAAAAAGTATTAAATAACAAATGAAATAACTAAAAAAACATTTAAATGAATAAATTATTGTCATTCAATTGTTGCTGAAATGTCCTTTAGGACACTTCGCAAACTCGAAGGAAAGACCGTGAGGGGTAAAACTACAAACGACCATACTGGACATTCTTGAGCAGAATCTGGCTTCTTTTCAGGCTCGGGATTTTTTTCTGCCTTTATTTCCAATGACAATGGAGGCGTAATATCTGGCTGAAGTTTTAAAATGACATCAAAACCGCTTCCTGGTATTTTAGCACATGGCGTGGGCTTTGGCATAAATGCAGACTGTTGGTGTTGACTTGGCTGTATAAACGCTCTTTTATTAAAAAAAAAAGAAGAAAACACGAATTCACGAATTTTGCCGTAGTGTTTCTGTTGTCAGTGTGCATTGATGTAGTTGAAGAAGGCGTTGGAGTAAACTTTGCTTACTGACGTTGGCAATTAAAGCCAGGTGCAGCTCTGGTTCAAGAATTTTAAAAAAAGGTGAGGAGTAAGTTGAAAAAATTATAGGCCGTTGAAAGGGTTGTACTAGTTCTCATTACTAAATTTGAATAGTGCTCATCTTTGACATAATATTCAAGCCACACCGATAAGCTAATTCCCTGAAGTGACACGTTGCGAGTACCAAAAACAAAAAAAAAAAAAAAAGAACGAAGGAAAATTAACAAACAAAAGGCTCACATATACATTAATTATTTCCCAGCGCTTTGAGACAGCATTTTTCACGCAATAGCATTTACCAAATACGAGAGGTGCAATAGCGACTAATAGAGTTATGTCTCGTTAATATGGACCCCGCTAGTAGGGATACGCCGCTATATCGATACCATTTTCGGGGACAAACTTTGAAAATACATGCACTTTTGTCTCGTTAATATGGACAACTCACATTATAAACGATTTTTAAGGTGGAACGTAGGCGTCCATATTAACGAGACATCACTGCATCAGCTTCGTGTGGGTTGTGGCATGCGTTGATCAAACCGAGCATATAATTAGTTCATAAAATTTTCTCGCGCCTATCCTCAACCCAATAAACCCCTTGTTAAAGTAAGTCGGAGAATTTAGGCCGTACACCTAAATGCAGCTATTTTAACCCCTTTAACACGCAAGTCAAATAAAGGTAATAAATGGCAGAAACTAAATCCTCAATATATTGAAATCTGGAGGACTATGCATTTTTGGGAAGATCCTAAAATATTGAGATGGATGGGATATCACTAGTCGTGACATTGGTAGCATTAAAATATGAATTCCGAAGTGGTTTGGAACAACCTGCTGTGAGTGGAAGAAAAGTACCAAGAAGTAAAAGAAAACTATACCTAGAAAAATGTTGACTGCAGTCTGGAAAAAGAAAAGAAAGAAACCCGAAATATTGGGGTTTGCTTTTCCACAAACAAGGTACCGCAATATCTCACTCCCACGGTCGCAATGACGCTTCCGTAGCTGCCACAAAAACTGGCACAACGGAAGCTTGTGTCAATGGAACACCGCAAAGGTGAACCCAGAAACGTCCGCAGCTTCGCCGACAGTCGCCTCGCTTGATCCTTTGTGAAGTCGAGTGCTTACGCGGCCTGTGCGATCTAAAACGTTACACGTGAGAGATAAATAATTGTTGTCACATACATAACCTTTAAACACGTGCAAAAACTAAATTCCAGCGCTCATTTTGCAGCTTTAATGCGTTGCATGTTGCAGCATATAACCTCAAAAAATACCAGTATTTTGTTGTAAGACACAAGAAAACTAATCTTAAAGCTAAATAAACAACTATCTTTCAATGTGCACCTGGTGGATGTATGTGGAGCCTATTTAGGAGGTAATCTAGCAACGTTGGGGAACTTGCTACGTAGTCATGACGTAACAAGTTTCATCGGAGCAGCGCCGCTCTTTGGAATTCATCATTTTCCTTCATAGCTTTCCTCCTCAAACCACAAAGCGCGCCTTATACCAAACAGTTCAAGAAGACAGACCCTTATTTGTGTGCCCGGACGCAGCCATTTTCTCCCTAGAAGATTAGCCCGTCGCTCAAAATTTGGAAACAAGTTGCTTTTCCCACCCCGTTCACCCCTAAGCTGACAGTGCCGTGAAAGCTACGTGCTTCTTGGGCCAGCCACACGCTCGTCACCCCACGGATACTTCGAACGGCTCGGCTGTAACGCGTTGACGCTATTAGCGAGTTTTAGTAGACCGTGTTTCCCCCACCGCTAAGCCCCTCCGCTACCCGGAACTCTGCAGCCAAGGCTATTGGCGCGCAGGCGCAGTAGCGGTTTCTTCGTAGCGTAGTTCTAGCGGAGGGGGAAACACGGTCTACTAACACTCCCTATTGACAGCACCACAACCCTGACACCACCACCAACGGCAGAGCTCATAACCACGTCAGCTACGTCACGAATGCGGGGAATCTTTTTTTTTCTTTTTTTTCTATGTTTGTATGCGCCGGATATCCCATGCCGCATCGCGCTCTCCGTTCGTTTCTCTTCGAGCGCTTGCTCGAGTGCAGCGTTTGGAACGAAGAATATAGCCAGTCGTTCAACTACAAACGTGCGATTATCATTTACGGTTATTATCCGGCATGCTTGACTCAATTTCGAACAAATTTTGAATATTTCAATTTTCTTTTCCGTACTCCATTAAGTCTGAACATAAAGATTTTGCTCTAAAGAACATAGATTCAAAAATAAACAGGAATGACAGCAGTTGAAAAAAACAAAAAAACTATTTAATATGCATGTGTTTATGCATTTCTAAATATGCTTAAAAGCCAGAACCGTGTTAAAACGCACAGTGGGTCTAAAGACAGCGGTTAAAATTTGTCACAATATGGCGCCATAAACCACGTAGCATCAGGTCCGTGCAGCCAAGGTACACGGAATTGAGGAATTAGGCACACCAAACTTTTAGCCCCATGTTGTTGTTCGAAAGTCGTAATCTAAATTCTAATATAAAATCATGCTTCTCGTGGTAAGACTCGTAAAAATATTAGGCACTGGACAAAATCGATCCCGTGAACGTTCCCGACCATATTTACAACTTCTCATGTTCAAGTTTCTACACTCTTAAAACAAAGGTAGCCATATAGGTGCCTTTTGCGCTGGTCAAAAAGTAAAAAAGCTATAACGACCCCTGGGGTAAAATGGGCGACCCCACACAGAGTCAAAC